AAAAATAGTAATTAAAGATGGAAGAAAGAAAGGAAAAGATGCTAATTAGCCAAATGATAAAATGATTGATTAAGTGATAATCGAAATAATTCATTATACAAACATATTCGAAAATTGCTAACAGTAAATTACTAATAAAGAACAAACAAAATGAACAAACAGGTTATCACTGATATTACGAATATTTAAAAAAGAGATAGGATGAAACAGAAAGCATTAAATTAAAACAAACCATCAATCGAAAATGATAATGGACTGATATAATGCATCAGCTAACGAAACCAATGATCATCGTATTCAAACCACATTAATTGATTTATAAACAAATCGAAACATTTCTACGACACATTTCATTGTAATTGTCGTCACGAATTTGTACACATAGCAGTTGTGCAAAATGATGATATAAACCAGATGTGGTAATAGAAGAAAAGTGTAAAATATTTTAGAATTTCAATATATCAGTTGATAAGAAGCATTGGTTGCAAACAAATTGAAATCATCAAATAATTTAAAATATTGAGCACTAGTGTATGATTAAGAATGAAATTATCAATTTGATTAATATTTTGCATCATCAGATAATGCAATTTGATAAAAACTTATATGAAAAAGTCATGAAAAAAATATCAATACTTAACATTTGAAATTTAATGATTATCAGGAAAAGAATGATAATTTAAAAAAGTAAGTAATTCGCATATAGTTGAAAAATAATTAAGCAATTGCATAGGAGATAGTTAGAAATATACTGCTTCACAATAATTATGATAATATAAGTAAAGATTTGCAACATTGATAGCGTATCAAAATGGAGTACAAAGTATTTTTAAAGCGTAAAAAAACGTGTAAAAGGCGTAAAAAAACGTAAACAATTGATAAGAATATTTGATAGCATTAGTAAAAGTAAAGATTTACTGCTAAATACTTCATTTGAAGCTCAAATAACCAAAAAAAATCTCGAATATTTGAAAGTTAAATAAATTTGAATTGAATTAAATTTGAAATTTTTGCAATTTGAACACTATTCTAAATTACCGAATAAAATATTCAGATATGAACAGAAATAAAAACAAACGATGATAGACTGCATCAAAAAGATACAGAAATTGTAAGGAAGGATATGAGAGAAAAAGAGAGAAAACAAGATAAGAGGATGAAGGAGACGAAAAATAATAAAAGAAAGAGTATTACAAGATGATTTATGATTTTGGCTATTTATCTCCAAACCGGTCTAATTAAGATTAACTATTGATGGGATTATTGGGATCATTTTTTATTATTTTTGTTTCTCTTGTTTATTGTTTTGTGTTATTAACTTTAATTTCTTTTGCTCTTTTCTGATGTGTAACAAATATTTGCTTTTTTAGGTATATTTAATTTGAATTTTCGAAAAAAGAAGAAAAAAAAACGAAAGGAAGAATGGCAGGATCTGAAACAGGTAAAATAAATAATTGTTTTATTTTAAATGTATGAAATATGTATAAGTATTAAACAATTAAAATAGATGCTAAAATATTTTTGTATTTTGTTTTTTCTTGCCAAATTAAAGTTTTTTTTAGCAAATATTTGGTTTATGTAGGAAAATAAAATAAAATCGTAAAACAGGCTATATGACATTATATTATTACAGTCTATGGTGGAATCGAAGGACCAGATGCAATGTACGTAAAATTGATTAGTAGTGATGGACATGAATTTATTATTAAAAAAGATTTGGCACTAACATCAGGTACAATCAAAGCAATGTTATCTGGTCCTGGTTCATATTCTGAAAATGAAACAAACGAAGTTAATTTCAGGGAAATTCCGTAAGTTTATTGGTTGTTTTTTATACGCAAAATATTAAGTTGAAAATTTTTGTCGAGAAATTCTATTTATTCATTTCTGTGGGATTATTGGGATGTAAAGGCATGGTTATTTGAAAATAAAGCACAGCAATTATTAAAAAAAAAAAGAAAATTAAAGATAGATCATTATTCTCTAATAAATAAGTTTTACGAACTAGGATATCAGATCTTATGTTAAGTTAAGATCTTATGTTTTTATTCAAGTATATTCTCTAGCAGAATGTGGATAGAAAGTTTTATGAATAAAAGATTAAAAGGGATCTGAATTATCAATGAATTACAATTTAATTTCCTAATTTGTATAGCATCTTTATTTATAGATCACATGTTCTACAGAAAGTATGTCAGTATTTTGCATACAAAGTACGTTATACAAACAGTGCAACAGAGATACCTGAATTTGTTATAGCTCCTGAAGTAGCTCTCGAACTTTTAATGGCAGCTAATTTTCTGGATTGCTAATCGTCGGCCATATTTGTAGCTTTAATGATGTGGTAACTATTCACCTCAGTTTTCCCTCTTTACAAACAACATTAGTGATTTAGTTCCAATGAAAAGTTGTGTTTTAGAACGTGTGAAACTTTCTTTCTTTTTTTTTCCTTTTTTTTTTTTCAATTTAGGTTTACGCAACAATATCTTCGCGCTTCTTGCACTTATTAAATATTTCACTGGTTGCATTTGTTTGCTACGCAAACATTCTTCGTTAGCTTTTCCTGTACAGTTTTATTTTTATTTTTGCATTGATGATTTCCTGAAACAATGCTTCAAGCGTATTTTATTACATAAGATGGAATAGGAGAAGCATATATTTTAGAGTCATTGTTTTATTGGAAAATTGATCTCCTTCCTTCTCAATTTCTCCATTATAGCTCTTCATGTCATATAATGATGCAAATTTAAGTGTCAAATTTTTGCTTAGTATTTGGAAATATTTTGAAAAAATTTTATCTAGAATTCCTCAAAACTATACTTTCTTATTCTGTATTTTTTATTGCATTATTTTGCACGCTTCTTTATTATAATATTATAAACTTAGGAAAAAAGGAAGAGAAGATATAGGATTTCATAAAAATGTTTTGCTTCATCAACTAATAGAATATTATAAATGTTCCCATTGCTCACGTTTTACCTATGAATAAGAAAATGATTACGGTATATATGTTTCATTATCATTATAAGAAAATGATTACGGTATATATGTTTCATTTTTATCATAAAAAAGAAAAAAAAAAGCCGCAGGAAAATTCAACTGATGCCTAATGAATATGTTGCTATTACGCATGTAAATGATAAATTTGTATTATGAAAATGATAGCTTTTACATTTCATCATCTGGTACTTGATGCATTTCTTGAATTTATTAGATTTTTCATATTTTATTCGAACTCTATGTTTAGCTAAAAAAACCTCAGAAAATATTCATGAAAGTTAATCATTATGACCATGTTACATACACAAATTTAAGCATTTAATTTAAAAATTCTATTACTTGATATGCTTTTCTTAATGAAGTTAGGAGGATTACACACACACATACATACATACATCAGAGGCTTTTTCTGTTTTATATATGATAGCTATTTTCTTTGTTCCTTCTAAAACAAAGCATAGAACTTCTTTTTGCAAAAGTTCAGATATCTAGCAGCAGTCTCTGGAAGCTTTTACTCCATATACTGTTCTTATGTGACATTTTGATGTAAATGGCAAAGCACGGAAGTGCAATTTTACCACCTGACCAATCGATCATCATCAATGCTTTCGGAATTACACTAGTAGAGAGTTTAACACCTGTCACATACGTATATAAACACATACTCCACAGTCGAATGTGGAAGATAATGAAGGAAATTGCAACTGAACAAGCAGAATAAGAAAACTTCGAAAATCTGAGGACTAAGAATTTCATAACAACAAATGAATAACTTGACAGACTGATGTCATATCTTTAATTCACGTGTCACCTTCATTTTCGTTCTTTGCAGTTCACGATACATGATATTGACGCCTGGTTTACTCTTAACGAGAATACGTAGTCAACGTGCTTTCAACTTCATATAGAGAGGAACATGATGTTCTCAAATATTTATTTTTGCAACGGATGAAAATCTTTTAAGTAAAACAGACTTAATATAACCAAAAAACAAGGAAAAAAAAACACGGCAATTCAAGCAGAGTGCATAAAGAATAAGTCAAATAATAACCGTATTATCTTAGAAAATTAAAAATATAGAAATCGTTTACAAAGAGGAACTAATTATAAATTAAACTGATACAAGCAAAGGGAAAATGAAATACAAGAGAAACGGCCAAGTTATTGCCTACAGATCTGTCACGGCAATGGCGATTGATACATGGGATACCTCAAAACTAGCTGATAAGAAAAAAGAAAGACAAAAGCGTATCTTCAACACTTCCTTTACCACAAATGAATCCAAGTATGAAGATCAATGCAAAAGTCAACAGTTAACTAGGTGAAGTAGAGCGAGCCGTTTATGGTTTCTGTACGTCCACATTCCCGACCGAAATGTAATTCTGTTTTCATCTATCTTGATTGCATATCGTCGTACAATAAAAAACTATATAACCAATAAAAAATAAATTCACACCTCTCTAGAAGAAATTTTAAACACAAAATGCCTTCATTTAAATGTCTGAATACTAGCTGTTAGAATCATAGCTTGTAAAACAAACTGGTATTACAAAATATAAAAACAAAACAAGAAAAAAAAAGAATTCTTAGCTAAAAGAAGAATAGCTGGAATGGTTGCAAAAGAAAGTGGTAATGCAATAAGTTATGCTCAGAAGAGAAGTAGAAGCAATATTGTAACAAACAACTGAAATGAAATCTGAAATGTGAAAAATTCGCTTCTTCCAGGAATGACAATAACAAATCAAAATGTGGGAATGGAAGACCGGAAATGAATAACGAAACAGTACAAGAGAATGACGACGAATGCGTGAGTCGACTAAAAAGAAGAGGAGTACTAGCCATCGAGAACCTCTAAGCTTCTAATTTTAAATCATGAAGATGTAAAATTTTCAAGATTTTGTGCAAAACTTTTAAAACAAAAGCACTCATAAGTTCATGAATGATTCTGTCTGAAAGTGAAATATTCTTTCGTAAACGTCGAAAACATCGATTCGAAAGTTTCAGTATCCAGAATCCATTAAATATTGTGCAAGTTTCTCAACTGCTACACGTACTTCCGCTGCATTTTCCCCCTTATAGCAAGCAATTAGCACAGCTGAAAATTTACACTTAAATAAGAGCCACCTGTTCCTTGCATAGACGCTGTGTCCCTCGCAAAAAAAAAAAAAAATTGGAATGTTTTAATTTTTTAAATAAGAAATTCATTAAAAATAAACCAAATGTAGGAAAACAGTACATACTTGTTGCTGAATTATCTCTGCAGCTATTATGAAAAATAATAAACAAAATAAAAGACCTGATTTAGTTTTAGCTGCAAATATCCCAGTTTTATCGCGTTTACCAAAAATGAGATTCTGTTCCGTTCGTGGCACTATGTAATGCACGCCTGCAATTATGATTCAAAGCCGATTCATTAGGAAAATTTAATGGATGAGTGATTTCATAAATCTACAAGTTCATTTTGGATTTCGCCCACCATCTTTCTTCTATTCTCTCCCTCCCATAAGAACATTTCGGCTTATCACTTTTCCTGAAAATACTTCACTTACAAGAATGCTTTTCCATATTCCTCTTTCAAAAATAATTACGAAGTAGACGAAACTACCGTTAAACTGCAGTTTATTCCGATAAATCAAAATGAAGTCACCAAAAGCCTAAAAAGCAATCAAAAGGGAGTAATACATCAATCTGATGAAAGTGCCCCACTATTAGAACTATGTGTCTTTTAAAAAGCCTCAAGAAGTCATGCTATCAGGAAAACACTATTTTAAAAAAATGCAAGAATCACCTTCCAAATCGCAACCAACAGCTGGCACTTTTTCAATATGATCATATAAAGTGACAAATTTTTTTAACTCCTCGTCTGTTGCCTGAAAAACGTAAGCATTATCTATTAATAAACATAAATCCTTTGCTTTGTTTCCTCATGTTAGTCTGTTGGGATTACCAGCTTATATATATCAAACCAAGATATAAAATGGAAAAAAGTTTTAAATTATAATTCCAAAAAATTCGAACTTTGAGCCGCCTAAATCGATGGATCGAAAGAAACTTTTGGGTAATGAAAAAAGGTACTTTGCGGTAAGAGATTAATGATTTCATCACTCACTTTTCGAAAGGATGATTTTCAGTTACTCGTGATATATCTCTACAAATTAGAGTTTACGATAGAAATAATTGCATCAAATCTATGATATCTCGGTTTGAAAAATAACTGTGAATATCAGTGTTATAAAACAATACAGCATGAATTATTACCCGGAACTCACGATCACCCTCAGACCTTGCCCATACAGAACCATCTGGATAACCAACAATAGCAGCTCGTTGTATACCTTGACTTGAATCAAGTAGATTCTTGATATAAGCAGCCCAGCCAGACATTCTACAATTATTAATTGGGCAGTCTGAAAAGCGAAAAAAGAAACGAGTCTGCAATAAAAAATATATATAATAAAATTCAATAGAACGCCAACTAATGCGAGTTGTGATCTTAAGACAAGAAAGTTACCTATCTTAATTCAAACAAGTCTTTAAATTGAAATACAAAACTTTGAGTTATGGAAATGACAGCCAGATTTTAGCAGAAAATAAATTTAATAATTTACATTTATACAAATAAAATTTAGAATTTAAATGATAGATTTCACAGATATCAGAGGATTTGATCATTTGCAAAAATAACAAAAATAATTTCAAATATCGATCAATAGCAATTTAAATATTAAAGATGCGTCACAAAAGCAGAAAATGAAACAAACAAAACCCTCCCCAATTGTCTGACTAATGCATCACAACCCATTTGGACCTCTTGAATAACACTCAGACATACCAATCAAACGTATCCAATTTTAATGCTCCATCTTAATGCTCGTTAAGCTTTGAAGTCTCACTATGACATAAATGTATGTCTCACGTTGTAATCATATTTTTCAGTTCAACTCTTACATATACACGTTGATAACAATAAAGAAATTCTTTTCAAACTTTCTATCATTTTCTATCTTTTCCTAATTTTTCTTTTTATTTTATTTACAGAATTTATAGAATTAAAATTTTTACAACATGAAAATATATTAATAGAAGAATTTGAACACTATTCTGTATGCATATTAAATAGAAGAAGTTAGCTGTGCTGAGAACATAAAGCTATCATCAACTATTTGAATCTCTGAATCATTTAACATTTTTAGCATGCATCATCAATGCTAGCAATATCTGTTGGGTACCCAGAATGAGGGAAGCAAAAGCATTATTCCCCGAAAATTATTGTTAATTCATCTCTATTTTAATAATTTCTAATTTTGACAATGAATCATAATAATGCAAATGATATTAGTATTAATAATAACGATGAAAATATTCTAATGGTATGATAATAATAATAATTATTGCAACAAACAATGATATTTATAACAATAATAATAATAATAAATAAATAAATAAATAAATCATAAATGATAATAACAATAAATAACAATAGTAATAGCAATAATAAACAATAATAATAAATAGTAACAATAACAGTAAATAATAATAATTAATAAATAAATAATAATAGCAATAATAAATAATAATAACAATAAATAATAATAATAGTGGTAATAACAAATAATAATAATAAATAGTAATAATAATAATAATAATAATAATAATAATAATAATAATAATAAATAATAATAATAACAATAAATAATAATAATAGTGATAATAAATAATAATAATAATAATAATAATAATAATAACAATAATAATTATAATGATAGTGGTATCAACATTAGCGATAATTAATGTGAAGTTGCTATGATGATAATAATTATTGTGACGGTATCTATAAATATTGCTGAAATGTCATTATTATGGCAATAATAATTACTATTATATTTTTCGTAATTTAATGTCTTCTTCGAAGTTACCTCTCAGGTGATTTAGTAATAGGATTTTAAGCACTGCAATCCAAAAATTTCAATAGCAATAATTAATAATAATAATAATAACAATATAACAATAACAATAATAACAGTATAACAATAATAAAATTTCAATAGTAATAATTAATGATAATAATAATAATAATAATAATAATAATAATAATAATAATAATAATAATAATAATAATAATAATAATAATAATAATAATAATAACAATAATAATAATAATAATAATAATAATAATAATAATAATAATAGTATAACAACAATAACAATAATAATAATAATAATAAATAACAATGTAGATTAAATCCAGCAATGATAATAATAATTGCAATTGATAAAAATATTATGCATAATAATGTAATGATTGAAAGAAGAATTATGAAATGTTGTCACTGCAGATGTCAACGCTTAGTTAATGGTATGAATCAGAACTTAAAATTTGAAATGAAATAGTTTTTTTTTTTTTTTTTTTAAAAAGGGTGACTGATGATGAATAATCATTTCATCAGTGATAGAAATACTTAATATTCCATTGTAAGAATTACATTTTCAGAAACAAAAAAATGAATTACTAATTCTTAAGTAATAAATTCAAATATGCAAATGATAAATTAGTATACTATTAGTAGTACAGATATAAGTGATAATCATTTTCACAGTATTATTAATTGCAATCATTTAAAAAAAATAAAAATAAAATTGTAAAATACCTGTGGCATAAGTATATTGCTGTTATTTATCATATAAATTTAAAATTGCTATTGTGAAATGACATAAATGGAAGGAAAGAATAAAATAGAAAAGAATTATTTTTTTAAAGTCATTTAAAGATTATTTTTTTTTTTTGCTCAAATTTTAAATAAGCAATCTTAAAACTAATATATACTCATTTCCAATTTTACAATTTTGAAATTAAATTTAGAAATTGTCTACAAAAATATTCCATTATTTGCTATCATTATCATGATTTCCGGAAATAACCAGAAAACAAGGAATGTAAGCAGTTTGACAATCAAAATGCTTAGAGATTTCAACCTGAGCACAAGATGGCACTAATATCGGTTGGTAATGATTACCGGAGGCCTACATTAAACAGAGTTCCTGTATGGGTCGTACCTTGATAAAACCGAAATTGTCAAAGCGACCCGAATATTAAATTGTTGGTTATGTAATAAACAAATCGCAAAGAAGAGAGAGAGAGAGAAAAAAAAAAGGAATGAATTATTCTATTGATCAGTTTGATATGAATGAAATTGGAAAAGCGATGAAGAGAGAAATGAAATGATATGATTAATACGGTTTACAAGATCAAATGATAAACACATCGATGATACATTTAGACGATGATACATCATATAATGAACAGATCAATGACATATCGGATCATGAACAGATCGATGACGTATCGGATCAGAAGCAGATCGATGATGAAAACATCAGATGATGAACAGATCGATACATATCGATCACGAACAGATCAATGATATATCGGGTTACGTACAGTCGATGATGAACAGATCAATGGCATATCGGACCATGAACAGATCTATGATGAACAGATCAATGACATATCGGATCATGAACAGATCGATGATGAAAACATCAGATGATGAACAGATCAATACATATCGATCACGAATAGATCGATGATGAAAACATTAGATGATGAACAGATCAACACATATCGATCACGAATAGATCGGTGATGAACTGATTAATGACATATCGGATCATGAACAGATCGATGATGAAAACATCAGATGATGAACTGATCAATGACATATCGGATCACGAAAAAAATCGATGACGAATACATCAGATGATGAACAGATCAATGACATATCGATCACGAACGGATCAATGTTATATCGGGTTACGAACAGGTCGATGATGAACAGAAAAGAATTTATTGAAAACAGAAAACGAAATGAAAAACGACGTTTTAAGATAAAGCATAGATTCATGGTTTTAAGTATTGAATAAATTAAAGAATATATTAATGAATCAAAAAGTTAACAAATAAAAATAAAAAATCATAAACGAAAAGAACAATTCAACAGACCGCTATGAAATATAAATTAACAAAATAAACAAGAAAAGATGCTTTTCTTATAATTTCTATTATATCATGCAGCAATTTTATTTATTTCTCAAAATTATAATATGCAATTTTATTAAATGCATTAAGTATTCCAACCAATTTATATTTATTTCGATTTTATTCGAATTGAAATAATATAAAATGAAATTTTAAAAAAGAGAAACGATAAATTTTCAACAATAAAAAAGCTATTTTAGGAGAATTTTTATGAAAAAAAAAAAAGATTTATAATGAGAATCGTTCCTAATTTTCATCAGATTAAAAAAAGAGAGAGAGAGAAAGAGAGAGGGAGAGAGAGAGAGAGAGAGAGAGGGAGAGAGGGAGAGAATGACATTTTGGAATACAATGAAATTACTATGCCTTTTCGCAATGCCTTCAAAGAAATTGGGGTGGTGAAAATTAGTGAATGAGTCATCATCATCCATCAACAATACCCTAATCCAGTACACACACACACATACACAGACATACACATACACACATACACACACATACACATACATACACGCATCGCATACCTCACATCAACGACGATATCAGCGGACGACGACAAAATGTCGTGGGTAACACAGGTAGATGATGATGAGTCAGTCTGAGAGTTCATTTTACCTATTTCAAATTGAAAAAGTTCTTACCTAAATTTCATTTTACCTATTTCAAATCAAATTAAAATCTATTTCAAGTAATAATATATCATTTGCAAATTATATCCATTTTGAGTCAATCTAAGATTTAGATTAATTCGAATTAGATTAACTAAATTAGACAGAATTAAATAATTTAACAAATGGATTACTTCTTTTCAGTACTTAGATATTTCAATAAATAAAAATGAAAAAATTGATTGATTAAATGGATTATTTTTATTTGTAGCTTTTTTAATTAGTTTAATTAGTTTAAAATATTGTATGGCATTAATCAGTGATTGAAAAGTAAAATTATGAAGTATTTATGGAAGTAGAAAGTAGTATGACACAATATGTGAAGGTGAATGATCAACAATGAAAGGACAAATAGGAAAATGTATGGTGACATATGCCAAATTCATGATCAAAATGATGGCATGTCAAGATTTTCTTCAATGATAATTATTATATTTTATCATTTTACTGAAATTAATATTTTCCTAAAGCAAAAAGTTATAAATTAGTAATTAAATTTAAATGTAAATATTGTTAAAATTTAGAAAAATTAGTTTAATTTTTTAAAATTAATACTTTATTATCATAAAATAATTTAATAATCTTTGTTCAATGATATTTTTTTAGCATAAATATCTGTTCTAATCTATCTTTTATGTGTATATTAAATGATACAAAAATTTTTGTAAAAAAATTCTTTTGAAAATTAATCGCAACGCAAAAAAAAAAAAAAAAATGAAATAAAATGAAATAAAATAATTCTTAGCTCTTTAAACTTTCATCAATTTCTCGTTTTTCTTTCCTCTTTTTTTTTTCTCTAAATAATAATAATTTTATAAATCATATGAATAAAATTGCAAATTTTCCGGAAGTTATATGTAATATGAAATCAATAAAATTATTTGTAAATTTTGCAAATGGAAAATTTCGTTCAATGATTTATATTCTCTTAGAAATTGTTACCTGTTAAAGTGTATTTTGAAGTAGTGAAATAAAATTTTAAAAATAATACAATCAACCAGTTTACTTGTCACACACACATACACACATGCACACACACACATACACACATGCATACATACACACACATACACATACATGCATATACAGATACATACACTTTCTTCATAAATCAACATGTATATACAACTACCACTGTGTAAACATTTCAATTTTTGGTGTGAAATAAATTCTTAAATCTTAATTTAAAAAAAAAAAAATTAATAAATTAAATTAAAAATGAGAATTCACTAATGAATAAAATTAACTATTAAATATTTATAAGTTTATTATGATCAGCGCTTATTTATTCAATGCCATAAAATATAAATTTTAATCTCAACTATAAATTAATTTCGTTTACTTTATTATTTATTTCAAAATTACAAAGATTACTTATCTAATTATAAATTTTATCTAAAATATAATTTCTTCCTACCTGATAGAGTTTATCTTCTTGATATTTCCTTTCATCAACCTGATAAACTAACAGATCCTCAAATGGTTTTGATATTTCGTATTTGTATTTTTAAGATAAATTTTCCAAAATTAGGACATATGAGAGAAAAAAAAAAAGGAATGGAAATTACTTTTCTTTGAACAGGTTCTAAATTTGTCTTTTACTTGCATTTTGATGTAACACTTCAATTTCTAAAAAAAAAAAATCTGAATTCTTAATTTGAGAAAAAAAATTTTTTTAAAAGAAATTCCAAAAAAAAAGCATATATAATTATTGAAATTTTTCTTGTCAACTTTATTTTTTTTTTTTTTATAAAAGTTAATTTTAATTCATATTCAATTTATTGTTTCTTTTTTGTTCATTAGGTGTTTTGCGGTTGTTTAAAAATGCAACAAGATTCAGCACCTAATTTATATAATCTACGAAATGCATATGACAGTGATTTAAAAATTATACCTGAAGTTAGTACCAATTATGAGAATTTCAAATTTACCTAAATAAATTTACACAATTTTTTTTAACAGTTTAACATTTCAGATTGTTGATTCAGCATTATCACATTTTTTCATAAAACAACTCCACAAACCAATGAATTTAGAAATACGAATTGTACCAGAAATTCAGAATCGTCGTAATGTGACACTTTTAATAGGCGACAAAGAATCAATTGAAGTTGACGAGAAAAAGGTTATTATTAAATTTATATATGATTTCGTTTTCAGATCAAAATGATTGATTTAAAAGTTTCAAATTTTTTAAACATACAAAATATTTGAAAATAAAGCAATAAAATGGATGATATATTAATTATAAGAAAAGCTAATTAACATAAATATTACTTAGTATCAACATCAATGTGTATGTGAACGTCAACGTGATAAAGAAATTCAAAAACGTCGATTACGTATGGCATTCAATGAATTACGGAAACAATGGCATCGGGTTTTTCTAATTTGCAATTAATTAATTTTCTAAATCTAATTTATTACATTTTACTTTTAATAACTTTTAAATGTAATTTGTTCAGAAAGTTTCATATGGATAATTTTACATTAGCATTAATTTTATCCAAACAGAAAAATAATTCATTCGACGATTACAATGTTTGCTTTTCGGATTCTCTAAATGAATCTTTTCTGATCAATGATTCATTGATCTTTTCTTTACTTAGCAATGTTAAATTTAAAGTTTTAAATGATTGAATGCATCATGACGAATTCATAGTATTATAGTTTAGAGAATATGTTTAACATTTAATTTAAAAAATTTAAATTTAACATTTTTACAGGTATATCTAGGTGACGAAAACATCGTGTCACCTTACAGGTATGATCAATCGATGCATAACCTATATATGCGTAGTACTACTAGTAGCACGTCAACTGCTAAACCCATAGGTACTACTATTCGTTAACGTACGTCAACGTTAACGTACCTAACTAACTATTCCACGTTAGAGCGATCTCGTTTATTCTAATGAATACCTAACTCTACTTTATACTCGTAATTATACCTGTGCAATGAACATATTGAATTATCTTTGATATATCTTTTACTAAATCCATTTCTAATAATTTTACGCAAATCATATACAAACCGGATTGGAAAACCGGTTAACATTCTTAAATTTGTGATTTCAAATTATGCATACATCTATGGATTAAATAAGCTATAATTTTATGGCGGAAAAGGCGCTAATTAAATCATTCATTAATCGTTTGCTCAGAAAAATTCGAAATTCAGAATTCTTTATTAAATTTTGTCTGATCGAAGTTCATTTAATAGAAAAATGTCTAGCAAATGTTGTCCAATTTTCTCTCATTTAAAAAATTTTATAAAATGAGCATTAAAAAATTTGCCAGCAACGATGTGAATAACCGGTTTATTGAATGCAGTAAAATTTTAAAGTGTTTAAAGTCTCATTTTGCATCTAAATAGATTGTCGCTTTATATGTGATAGATTTCTTCATTCACAACATATAATAAAAGGATTTTGCGAAAAAAAAAAAAAAAAAATGACATCCTGAACAGTTATTAACTGGATCCGGCTGGCATTTCCTGATTTGTTATCTAACAAATTATAGAAATTTTTAGTACAATTAGCATCTTAATAAAGTTTAATAAAAAAATTATAGTGTTTATTTTTAGTAGAGATTATGTGACAGCAATTATTTCAATTTGACATCTGAATCATTTTAATTATTTGCGAACATGACGAAGACTTTTGCCTTCGTTATCACTAGCAATTATAAATTCCATTGCTTTACCCTCAACGATATTCACTCGTTTTCCCATTGAAGTACTTCTTCTTAAACAGCTTTTCTTTGGCTAAAATTAACTTTTTTTTTTTGAAATTTAATATTTTTTAAAAATTATAAATATTCTAACATTTTTATATTTCTTCAGAATTAATCATTTACTATTAAAAAATTTAGCTAATGTAACACTT